GAACCTTCAATACAAGAACCTTCGATACAAGACCCTTCGATACAAAACCTTTGGATACAAGACCCTTCAATACCAGACCCTTAAATATAAGACCCTTCAATACAAGACCCTTCAATACAAGACCCTTCAATACAAGACCCTTCAATACAAGACCCTTCAATACAAGACCCTTCAATACAAGACCCTTCAATACAAGACCCTTCCATACAAGACCCTTCAATACAAGACCCTTCAATACAAGACCCTTCAATACAAGACCCTTCAATACAAGACCCTTCAATACAAGACCCTACAATACAAGAACCTTCAATACAAGGCCCTTCAATAGAAGACGCTACAAGACTAGATCTGTGAGCGTCTTCCATTGGACCGTTTCCACTGGACCATATTCTCCACCAACTAGAATACGGGATAAAGTGGTTGACATCTAGTAGTAGTGGGGGACAATTTATCACTATACAACAGGAGGAGCAGGAACACCCCAAGGTCAGTGGGAACCAAGCCAGAAAGGAAGCCATGTAGGTCTTGCCAAATACTAGAAGATACATAAGAAGCCAACAGATGGCTTAGCACAACAGACTCCACCAATAGCCAGTGGATTGACCCTTTAAATTACATTGGGCTACCACACTCTGAGCGTACTTCTCATCTTATTGTATCGGCCTGAAATATCAATGGATGAAATGTATCTGCATAATAAACTGCCATCATCTGTGCTACTTCACGTCGTTCTAATCCAGCAGCAGAATCCTGACCTCATAATCATTTGTAAAAACAGTTTTGTGGATCTGTAAGTGGTGATGGCAAGCCAGCTCGTGGCCTTCAGCACTCCTCCATGACTTATGTATAATGTACTGTATCCATTTACAGCCATAGCTGTTATATTATGTATGTATGTGATACATCTCATTCATAATTAAAGCTACAGTACCATCCCGCTAGAATTTGCCAAATGAATTGAACAACTATACATGAAAAAAGAAAAGAAAAAAACAGCGCTAGAAGACGGCTATATTCATAGACAGCAGTTGCCAGCGATCGTATTGGTTGTTCGAGTCCTGGATATACCAAAGATCTATATCTGAGGATATGTTGTTACATAAGTAATGGACAAATATCGGCAGTGCAATCTGATGTATAAAATATTGGAACAACCTATACAATTAGGCCCCGTTCACACCTCCATGCTTCAGCATGCGCGTCGGAACGCAAAACAGTGCTGGTCATAGGAACGCATGTTACTCAATGAGCCTGTTCCCATCTATGACTTGCTATGACTTTTGAAAAAAGAGGCATGTCTGTTGTTCTGTGCATTTTTGTGCGCTGTGGGGCCCATAGAAGTTTATGTCCACAGATGACAACGCACATATAATGCGCTTTAATGCGTTACCAGCCCCTGGTAACAAGCTCCTCCCCTGCATACCGGCCATGTGCTCACACACTGCTGCAAGCCAGGTGGCTGCTGCAGAATCTCTGTATGATACAGAGGTTCCCATCAGGGACGTTCGCAGCCTCCCCTCCTGTATGACCTTTCCCACCACTACCAGGATATGCGTTATACACACACACATATATACACACACACACACAGACATTATGCTAATATTATTATATACACATGGCTGCTGTAGAACTCTAAAACATGGATATCACTGCAGGAAATAAATCCTCATTGGGCAAACCAGGAGATGTGGCACTCAGTAGCCAATCTGATCATAGCTGTCACTTTTATTGCAGGTTAGAAGATAAAAACTTGCAGCTGATTGGCTGTTGCCGGCAGCATACCGGCTCTCCTAAGTGCAGGTTTGTATAAATCACCTCATTAGTGCCATAGATTTTTTTTACAACCTATGAAGAGCCAAGTTTAGGCCAATTATTCATTCAGCAATCAAAGGAAGGGGAGGTTGGTGCACATTTAAAATTCAAGGATAAAACGTTTCTACTTATAGGATCAGATAAAAAGATATATAAATAACTTTGTATTCACAGCTCAAATGTCAGCGGGAAGAGAGGTGCTAACGGAGATGAAAGAGACAGAATCAGGGGAGAGGTGCACTGAGTACACTGGGGTGATGGGGGAGAGGTGCACTGAGCACACTGGGGTGATAGGGGAGAGGTGCACTGAGCACACTGGGGTGATAGGGGAGAGGTGCACTGAGCACACTGGGGTGATAGGGGAGAGGTGCACTGAGCACACTGGGGTGATAGGGGAGAGGTGCACTGAGCACACTGGGGTGATAGGGGAGAGGTGCACTGAGCACACTGGGGTGATAGGGGAGAGGTGCACTGAGAAGGTTGGTGCACATTTAAAATTCAAGGATAAAACGTTTCTACTTATAGGATCAGATAAAAAGATATATAAATAACTTTGTATGCACAGCGCAAATGTCAGCGGGAAGAGAGGTGCTAACGGAGATGAAAGAGACAGAATCAGGGGAGAGGTGCACTGAGTACACTGGGGTGATAGGGGAGAGGTGCACTGAGCACACTGGGGTGATAGGGGAGAGGTGCACTGAGCACACTGGGGTGATAGGGGAGAGGTGCACTGAACCTCTGCAATCAGTAATGCTCATGCACCCTGCTGATCGAAGACCTCTAGCCCGGACTCAGCAGGTGGTGATTCGGGCCTCTGCAGAGAGACAACTGCTTCCGCACAGCGTGCTGGCAGGGGACAGGCACTTGGAATGCATTTAGCTGATTTAAATAAAAAAATTGAGTTGGACTTTAAAAACACATCAGCCAAAGCAGAAGCCACATTCCTGTCCAGATAAGTTCCCTTTAAGCATCATGATCATTGAAATACGCCTCAAATTTAGAATAAAAACCCACGCTGTCCTCATCATCCAAGGGCATAAATAAAACATCGCTGCCTACCGGGCAAATCTGCATAACGCAGTTAACACTGCCTGCCACCAGTAATAAGCATTAAAAACAAGAGAAATAAGCATTAAAGAGTGGAACAGCACAGTGCGCATTGTCCATAAAGAACTACAATATGTGAAAAATCCCTAAAGAGGACCTGTCATGCTACAACAAATATGAGCTGCCATTGTCACGTTGTAACATAAGTTCGCAGGTTGATATTCGAGAGTATTTCAGGATTTAGTGAGTCGCTGACTAGGAAAAAGTATGTGGGCAGTGAAGGAAAAGGTCTTGAGCTGATTACTGTACTTGGAGGTGACTGATTTAAGTCCGGCAACTTGGTTTTTAATTTGGCAATGACATTTCCTACATTCATTATAACAGGTTTACTATTAAGAAGAACCTTGGGCAGAATAAAATGTAACCCTTGCAGTGGGTCCGTGCCCCGCACTACAAGGGTTAAGTGCTTATTTTGGTCTAGGGTATAAAATAACAGAGATATACTCACCCAAAGCTTGGTTCCACCTGGCTGCTAGACTACTCCTTGCAGCCTCTCCCCCACTCCGCACCGACAATGAAATGTCCCTCGACATTCCCACATACTCTGTATTAGACGTGATGACACAGACCATGACCACCGCAGTGGAGGGGTAGAGGGGCTACTGGGACCGATCTAGCAGATAGGCGGGGCTGAGGTTCCAGTGAGTATACCTTTGTTATTTTAGACCAGGGGTGGGCAACTCCAGCCCTCCAGCTGTTGTGGAACTACAAGTCCCATGAAGCATTGCAATACTGTCAGTTACAGGCATGACCCACAGAGGCATGTTGGGATTTGTGGTTAAAGCACAGCTGGAAGGCTGGAGTTGGCAACCCCTGTTTTAGATCATAGACCAATATGAGCATATTTGGTCTAAGGTTGTGCGGGGGGTTATACTGCGACGCCGCAGCTCGCGGTATACTAAGACGCCGCAGCTCGCGGTATACTGAGACGCCGCATCTGAAGCGGATCCCGACAATTATGTCTGGATCCACCCAGCTGCGTGACTGACAGCTGGCTCTGCCTATCTAGAGGCAGAGCCAGCTGTACCCGCCCCCTCCCACGTCCGTAGTAGATCGGAGAGGGGAGGGGGGAATCCAGCCCCTCCCCTGTCACGGCAGAGAGCCGTGACAGGATCGAGAGGTGAGCGAACGCCGGTATGTGTTCCCTCACCTCCCGATCTACTGAGCCGACCTGTGACAGTCTCATTGTCACAGGTCGGCTAGAACTATGAGGATGAGTGAAATGCACTCGCCTCATAGTTCTCCTTTTAGTGCCTCTAAACACAAAAGACAAGACACTGGTATATAGGAACCCATATAATGTATTCCTTAAGTGTATCTCTTGAGAGCCTCCAAACACAACAAACAAGACGCTGGTATAGAGGAACCCATACAAGGTATCTCCTGAGAGCCTCCAAACAAAAGACGCTGGTATAGAGGAACCTATAAAATGTATCTCCTGAGAGCCTCTAAACAAAACACAAGACGCTGATATAGAGGAACCCTTACAAGGTATCTGCTGAGAGCCTCCAAACACAAAGCAAGACGCTGGTATAGAGGAACCTATAAAATGTATCTCCTGAGAGCCTCCAAACACAACAAACAAGACGCTGGTATAGAGGAACCAATAAAATGTATCTCCTGAGATCCTCCAAACACAACAAACAAGACGCTAGTATAGAGGAACCCATAAAATGTATCTCCTGAGAGCCTCCAAACAAAACACAAGACGCTGATATAGAGGAACCCATACAAGGTATCTGCTGAGAGCCTCCAAACAAAACACAAGACGCTGGTATAGAGGAACCCATACAAGGTATCTCCTGAGAGCCTCCAAACACAACACAAGACGCTGGTATAGAGGAACCCATACAAGGTATCTCCTGAGAGCCTCCAAACACAACACAAGACGCTGGTATAGAGGAACCCATACAAGGTATCTTCTAAGTGCCTCTAAACATAAAAGACAGACACTGGCAACAAGATGCTGGTAAACAGTCATCCAGACACACCATTTCTTTTGGACTTTTTTGGCTGGAATCACCCTTTAGGATTGCACAGTTTCCATCACACAATTGCCGTAGCGTTTCCCAGCTTACCTTCCTCCTCTCCTTCTTGTCGTCTTTCTTAGTGAACGCCGTGTGGATCCACCAGATTTTGGTAAACATACTTCCATAGGCCAAACTGAAGCCGAGTCCCAGAAGCCAGAGGCGAGCCTGGACGATGCGGCCGAACCAGTGATTGACAAGAAGGCAGCAAGCAAAGAAAAAAAATAAGAGACGTAAGGTACAAAATACTGCAAATGGATCCTAAAAGTCCAACTGAACCTTCCGTTTAAGTCAGCTTCACACATGCTAATAGAACCAGCGGCCACAACCTGAGCAGAAAAGCCTGTCCCCGGCCAGCATGCTCCAGAGAAGGGACCTTTCTCTCTGTGTGGAAGCAGTGGTCTCTCTTCAACCTAGCCGAATCAGTCTAGAACTCTCAAATGAGCAGAGAGTGCAAGCTTTGCTGATTGACTCAGCAGGGAATGTGACGGACCGCTGCATAGAGGCCACTGCTTCAACACAGAGATCAAAGGTACTTCTCTGCAACATGATCAGCAGAGAGTGCAAGCTTTGCTGATTGACTGATCAAGGGGGTGTGACGGACCTCTGTAGAGAGACCACTGCTTCTACACAGAGATCAAGGGTGCTTCCCTGCAGCATGATCAGCAGAGAGTGCAAGCTTTGCTGATTGACTGATCAGGGTGGTGTGATGGACCTCTGTAGAGAGACCACTGCTTCAACACAGAGATCAAAGGTCCTACTGTGCAGCATGGTCAGCAGAGAGTGTAAGATTTGCTGATTGACTGATCAGGGGGGTGTGATGGACCTCTGTAGAGAGACCACTGCTTCAACACAGAGATCAAAGGTCCTACTGTGCCGCATGGTCAGCAGGGAGTGTAAGATTTGCTGATTGACCGATCAAGGGGGTGTGACAGACCTCTGTAGAGTGACCACTGCTTCAACACAGAAATCAAGGGTGCTTCTATGCAACATGATCAGCAGAGAGTGCAAGCTTTGCTGATTGACTGATCAAGGGGGTGTGACAGACCTCTGTAGAGAGACCACTGCTTCAACACAGAAATCAAGGGTGCTTCCCTGCAGCATGATCAGCAGAGACTCTAAGCTTTGCTGATTGACTGATCAGGGGGGGGGGTGTTGGACCTCTGTAGAGAGACCACTGCTTCAACACAGAGATCAAAGGTCCTACTGTGCAGCATGGTCAGCAGAGAGTGTAAGATTTGCTGATTGACTCAGCAAGGGATGTGACAGACTCCTGTAGAGAGACCACTTCTTCCACCCAGGGGGCAAGGGTCCTACCCTGCAGCACACTGGCAGGGGACAGGCTTTTCTACCCAGGCTGTGCCTGCTTCCTATAGAAAAGGAGCTGTAAGACTTTGCGCACCTATTTGTTTAGAATCATCTGGAATGTATTGAGCGGATTTAAACGAAAGGGTCAGTTGTATATAAAACCTGCCATGTGTTCCCTGCCAGTCTCTTGTAGGCTTGTATCAGCTCACCTGGCACACCAGGGGGAAGTGCCACGTCTCTATGTGAAGCCCATCCAGACCGAGCGGAAAGACGGCAGCCAGGGCCAGTATGCATCCCGCCGCCGTCACATCATTCAGGTGCGGCTGTGAATTTTGGATGTACCTGAAGAAGAGATACAGAGCAAGGGATCAGCGATCTTTAAACGTCACCTACACCTTCCCATCCTGCATAATACCTCTGAGGGAAGTTTTATGTATACAAAACATTAGATGGATGAAAGTCAAAGTGCAACTCCAGCCCAAAATATTTTGTGTAAGAGGGGAGGAGCTAAAAGCTGTCATGGTTTTACTGCACTGTACCTTTAAGGAAATTTTCCTTAATTTCAGCATTGTCACTGCATTAGGAAATTAAGGTAAATCTCTCCAACAGGGACAATAACACAAGTGAGACTGAAAATGAAGTCCATGTACACGTTTATTCCAAAAGGTAATTGTTTGCAAAGTCAACACGTTCAGGGGGCTGCACTCCTTCATCAAAGCTTAGGGGAAATGAAATAATGGAGCAATGTATGAATATTTAGTAGGCTGGACTCCATCCCCTTCATTAAGGTCTAAAGGAAAATAATTAAAACCATGAATCTGTGCATGCCTACTCATGATCATACTACCCCACTGTGTATAGATCTTTGAAGGCTTGTTCACCCCAATTACACACTAATGACAGTGCGTTCCATTGCGGGTAGCTGCTGGAACACACTGTATCGCATGCTATACTCCCCCCTGCGTTCTGTGGTCGGGAGGGGGAGTGGAACGTACTGTAATTGTTGTGAGCAAGCCCTGAGTCCCCGTTCACACTGGGGCATTTGTAGCCCGTATTTGACAGCACGGAAAAGCTCTGCTCAAGAAATCCTATTGATTTCTATAGTCCCCGTTCACGTCTCGGCATAGCGTTCTGCTGAGAAAAACGCCGGTCGCTGGAAAAAAGTACATGAGCTCCTTTTTTTGGCAGATCAGCACGATTAGGAATAGGAAAAAGGTTTGCATCGCTCTGATCTCCCCAAAAAGAGGCGCATACTTGCAGGCTTTTCCGTGCTGACAAATACGACTTACAAACGCCGTAGAAAACAAGCAGCGGCTTCCCCGCTGTACATTTAGTTCTGCTTGCCCAAAGCAGAGCTAAATGTAGAAAGCAACTACCCGCCCGGCACCCGGAACTGCATGTCCCGAGCATCAGGAGATAGGAATTCCACACCCCTGTTGCCCCTCTACTCCCTGCTTCCCTGAGGCCGGGGTATGGTATAAAAGGACTTAAAGTGTAAGTAAAGTGAACCTTGACACATAGCAGGAAGGTTAGCCTAGGAATCATAGACCCTGAGTGGTCCCAGAGGTGTGTTTTTCCACCTTTTAGTCCCTAATGCATTCATCATCATCATGTGGTGGAAACCACAACTCAAATATGTGCTGATGTAAGCTGTATTTATTAATGTATTTTTTGTGCCCATGTGCATCATGGGATCTGATGGTGCAAGAATTTGTAAAAAGTCTCCTAATATAAAGATGAACATCGGTCCTTCTCACCTCACGTGGCTATTGTAGATGTTGAACGAGAGACAGACGAAGCCCAAGAGTATGCCGAGTCCGGCAAGAACCGAGACAGAAATGAAGAGCTTCTGAGAGACATAGCGGAAGGTGATGATCACCTTGGTGTGGTCAGAAGGAGGAGAACCCCCTAGTTATGTTAGAAAGAGACCAAAGAAGGTGCAGTCAGGGTAAAGGAAGAATTGTAAAAGAATTGGGTTATACAGGAGAGGGTGGATGGGATAATCACCGGGGGAAGGGAGACCAGAGCAGACATTCAGGGTAGACCAACACTACTGGGAATAGTACTGGACACATGGAAGAATATGGAAGGTAGATAACGAGAGAGAGTTGGGTAGAACTGACATGAACAAGAGTTTACATACGGCCATATATCTCACTCACCGATCCACTTATCGTTGTTATACCAGGAGAGGTTGTCCTTGGTACTGTCGTAATACCCAATCTTCTTGTAGACGCCACCTTTCCAACAGAAACAAAAGTGCTCTTATTTAACAAAGTACTGCAAAAAGCAATGAATGGTGTCATGTGTGATCAATACTGACCAAATTCACTGTGCGGCCAACAGAACTAGGGATGAGCTCAGGTATGACCCGAACCTAGAAGGCACATGGGGTCACATGCCCGATTAGCACGGGCTGGCACATTCCACACCCCGCAGCTGCACAGAAACTGTGGGGCAGGATGCTTGTGCTGACATCATTTATCTGCTATGGTCACATGACCATATTAGATCAATATCACTGACCAAATATAGCCATGTGGCCATATAAGGTCAATGACATCACAGCTTCCAGTACCTAAGGGATTGGGCAGCAGCAGAAGGAGCTTCCTCCCAGGTTCAGAGTCCTGATTTTTTAATGTCCTACAGTTGGTTTTCTTTCCTAACCAGCCACAGCCTGGGTAGAAAAGCCTGCCCCCTGCCAGCGGTTGCAAAGGGCCCTTGCTCTCTCCGCGTTCTCTCTGTGGAAGTAGTGGTCTCTCTGAGAAGGTCCAACACACCTTCTACTCACTTAAACCTACAGCACTGCAATCAGCAAAGCCCATGCTCCCTGTTGATTGGATAGCTATAGCTGTGACTCAGCAGAGGGCATGTCAGACCTCTGCAGAGAGACCACTGCTTCCACGCAGAGAGCAAAGGTCCTTTTGTACAGCATGCTGGCAGGGAACAGGCTTTTCTACTCAGACAGAGGCAGCTTTTGAAAACTGTGAGACATTGAACACCTTTTGTTTGTTTGTAGCCGATTTTAAGCTGAGTGTTGAATTAGGTTTTAAGGCCGTGGTTAAAAAATGTTGGCGTCTGTCTCCACAAAGTGAGAGGAAATCCTCACAAATTAACTTTATTCTGCGATACACGACGCACGGCTGTTTGGAAGCACGGGCGGAATCGCAACGGGAAACCGCGCGGTCCGCCCGGACCGACTTGGGGTGCCATTGGAAAATAATGGCACCCACAGCGCAATCTTTTCACACCTGGGCGACTCCTGACCGCGCGGCAATCCGCGCGGAATCGTGCACGATTGCCGTGCGGTGGGGTGTCGCCTACATGTGCACCGGCCCTTAACAGCCACTACTGGAACAGCTGTCCCGATGGGAGATTTTCACTCATCTCCTCGTTTTTAGATTTCCATTTCCTAACCCGTTGCCACCTGGATGGCGAAAGCGGGGACAGAGGCAGAGGTCCTAACCTCTCCCTCCCAAACTAGAATAAAAGATTTCTCTGGCGTTCCACTTTAATCGGCAGAGATGAACAGGAAATCCTCTAAACCTGCCGGCCCTCCTGATCGAGGTCTGGACAAGTCCTGACAGTTGGCACCAATCTGTCAACAATCCATTTACTTCACACAGAAAAGGAGTCATTCAGACCACTCAATAATTTACTTGTGGCTGTCCAAA